CTCGGCTCTCGAAGAGCGAGCTCTACGTCTGGCTTGTACCGGTGGTCTCCAGGGAATTCGTATGTTTCGAACATGTACAGCCCGCTAAGCGCAAGCGACACGAAGACAGCAAAGCTGCCCATCCACAGAGCGTTCATCGTCATAAACCCAGGACGCATCCGCTGCGTCCTCTTCCGTGGACCCGCCTCCTCCGTCGGAGCCGCAAGCTCGTAGTCGCCACCCCCGCCTCCTGCGCGTGAACCGCTCCACGGAAAAGGCGAACAATGCCTTCAAAACCGCCCACAGCACGACGCCGAGGGCCATGCAGAACCCCCAAGTGGGGATGGTCGCCATTAGTACAACGAGGCGCGTGCGCGGAGTAGGCCAAGCGGGTAGGAATAGTCCAGAATCGTAGTAGGACGTCCAATATTCCCAAAAGTAGAGATAAATATGCCGAAAAAGGTAGATAGGAACGGTTATGAAGGCGGTCCGCACGAGGACGGTTAGGGCGAGGGACAGTAGCCAGTAAAGCGGATATACAATCCGGGAAACGGCTGGCTGTTTAGTGGCGGCCATTAGCCACGCCGCTGGGGTCGCAATACGCGGCCGAAGGCTAGCGTAGTTTATGTGCCGCCATGCATTTTGCATCGGGTTTTCTTGAGCCGAGTCAAGGCGCGTTTAGCCTGGTCGCCACTGCCATAGACATGCTCGTTAATAGCTCTGGCTATAGACACAAATGTACGGACATTCAAAACCGATTGTTTTCGACTCTCCTCCGCAGTCAAGACTATTTGCCGTGCTCCAGAGAATATATGGGACCGGGATGGCGCTCCAAAGCCTCAGGTTGTCGCTTCCACTGAAACAAGCTGAAAAGGTCCGTGGGGAGTCGACGAGCAAACCGAGAAAGATGGGCGTGTTTCAGGAGGTCCGAGGGCGTTGCCCAACAAGAACAACTTCAAGTGGCTTGTCCCGAACCTCGACCTCGTCTTGTCGTCCTCGCGGTCTCGAATGGCTTGGGGCCATTATTGGGGCGAAAGAGAGATGGCTCCTAGCAAAATGCTAACAGCTGTTAACGTCAATTATGCATAGGCTCCATCAACGAAGTCTTAGCGCCAAACGGCCAAATGCTCTGTCTGCTGCTCCGTGGAATACATGACCATCTACTGCAGCATGCGGACTGTCTAGTGCTTGCCCAGTATACCGATGCGTTGCCTGAGAATCGTTGGGACAAGGCGACAATTGGACTCAGGCTCTTTTCGTTCGCACCGCTCTGCCTCATCAAGCCAGAATTCCTATACCCTGACGCGCACGGCCCCCGTGCATACGCGCGAGCCTGGAGAAGCGGTGCCGCGGGGCAGCGGGACGATACCGTACTGGGAGGACGAGGTACGGAGGTGGCGCGGCGCTCGCAATGAAGGACACCGCCAGCTGCCTCATCAAGGAGTTACCACGGCGCATCACGACTTCTTCGTTGTTTGCGCGTGGGCTTTATTGTGAGGAGTGGAGGACACGGGGAGGATCTACCCAGAGCCGCGTCTTCCTTCTTCCAGATGCTCCTGAGCCTCTTGAATCTCTCGCTGGATCCCACCAGGTCCTGGACTCTATCGTGGCGCTTGCTCGGTCGCCGTTTACGCGCGCACGGGGTACGGGTGTCATGGGCTCAGTCATGTAGAAAGCTGGTCATTACTAGTATTCACTGCATTAATTCATCAGATTCAAGCAAAGGAATCCGCGGCGACATCAGTCGCTATCGCGCAACTCGAGGTCGTCGTGTATCTGCCTAACAGTCGTCTCCTTCAGCGTCGCGAGCTAGCGAGCCGTTAGTAACTCAGCAGACGGGTCAGTAAAGCAGGCTCACCTTGCCTATGAGGATCTGGGATGGACCGTGACACTTGAGGAAAATAAATAAATCGACGGAAAATAGCGCACTCACCTGCGTCGCGTCCTTGGCCTCGTTGTACCGATGGAGGAGCTTTATGTGCTTCTTGACAATCGCGTCTGCGTCCTCGTGCGCTCTGTGAAGTGTACACTCGAGTCTGAATTGCGTCGTTTGCTCGGCTGACCCGCGTACCCTAATTCTTTTTGGAGGCTCTCGACCTCCGCCTGGAGCGCAGCTACGCGCGCCTCCTGCTTCTACATCCACAATCAGCGTGGGCGAAAGGATACTCACGCCGTCCTGCGCGTACTTTGGCTGAGATTGGGGCGTGCATGAGGGTAGAGAGCAAGAACCTGTCCATTACATATTCAGAAGCCTCCCTTTTTGGGACGCGTACATCCTTACTTATTTTACAGCGGCTTCAAACGACTTTGCGGCAGAGGATTTCGCCGTGCAGGATACCAAACCACGCGTCCGGCTGCGCGCCCCACGTCTTCCACGCCTGCGACATCGCGTCCAGATCCTCCTGCGTCGCGAACCCGCGCTCGAGCGCAGTCGAGGCGAACTCGGACGACAGGACGCGTTCCGCCCAGGTCGAAGTCCACCAGGCGATTTCCTCTGGGGTGCTGAAACACCAGGTGCCGCAGGTCGCGGTGATTTGGGGCTTGGGGATGCCAGCGGCGAGAGCCCAGGATACTAGACGTCGGCCGGCGTCTGGCTCCCCGCCGTTCGAGCGCGCGACTTGCTGGTGTGTTTTGCGCCTGCAGAGCATGTGAACAGCTTTTCTGGGCGACGGAAATTGCAAGAGACTACCAGAGCGCTATGCCCTCGCTTTCCGGGAACCAGGTCATCGCGGCAAAGTCTGTGTCGCGCGCCGCGACGATTCCCCCGGCTTTGGTGACGCGGAACATCTCCTTCAAGGCCAGGACTGGGTCTGGGACGTGCTGCAGGACTTGGTGCGCATGGACGACGTCGAAGGTGTTGTCGGGGAAGCTGAGGGCCAAGACGTCGTCGACCGCGTAAGTGATGTTGGTGACGCCCTGCGCAGCTGCCTGGTCCCGCGCCTTGTGGATGACATCCTCAGCGGAGCGCGGCTCGATGCCAGTAACGTGTCCCGCCGGAACGAGCTTTGCGAGATCGAGGGTTATCGTGCCAGGGCCGCAACCAACGTCGAGGATGCGGGTGGTCGGCGTGAGCGAGCTCAGGAGATATGCGCACGAGTTCTGGGCGGTGCGCCAGGAATGGGAGCGCAAAACGGATTCATGGTGGCCGTGTGTGTATTGAGCAGCCATGGAGGATTGGGGAAAGACGGTGGATAAGCCTCCTATTTAACGCGATTGAACATCGGAGTTCCTGTCCGGGCTTTCGGAATTCCGGACCTCTCACCAAGCGCGCGCTTCGAGAACCACTCGGCATCTAGTTAATATTTTGGGAGCGCGCAATTATTACTACAAGACCGCATCGTATTTCTCCATCTCCTTCATCAAGTTCGCCCATCTCCCATCGTGCCAGCTCATAATATCCTCCCAATTCTCCTTCGGCAGCACCAGCTTCGTCCACCGGAGAAACCCCGCAACGACCATATCCGCATAGCAGACGCTATCTCCCATAATGAACTTGCCCGTGCTGTTTTTCCTAATCCAGCTGTCGACGCGGCCAAACCCATCCTTCACTTTTTTCCACTCGCACGCGGCGTGTACGGCGCCCCGGGGCGTTACATCCTCCAAGCGCCGGCCGCCGAAGAGCTCCTCCCTCGTGCGTCGGAAGTACGACTGGCTGGCGGAGTTCAGAAAGGGGAAACTTGCGGGTAGGTTGTAGGGGAGGAGCGGGGCGCCGATGCCGGCGACGATGGCGTCCGTGAATGCGTAATGGAACGCGGTCGTCCCTTCTGGGATGAGGCGCGGAGAGTCTGGGTAGGTAGCGTCCAAGTAGCGTGCGATTTCGATCGAGTCAGAGACGACGGTGTCTGAGAAAACATTGTTATTTTTTTCGCGTCGGTGTAAATGAGGACGGCGAACGTACCCGTCGAGGGATCGTATATAACAGGTAGCGTGTATTGGGGAGAGGTCTCGCTGGTAGGCTTTGCTCCAATTTTCTCGAGTAAGGGCTCAATCTCGGGGTATTCTAGGAAGACTGTTTTGTGTGCGATGCCCTTGAAATTCAGGGCATATCTGGGAAATGTTAATGGGCGGAGATAGAGCTGTAAATCAGAACCTGCCTTGCTTTCGCAGTATTCGGCGACCAGGCCTGGCGAGGGTGGGTGGAGGCGATATCATATAAAGTGATGAGGGACATGGTGAGGTCTTCGAAGAAACCAAAAGCTTTTTATACCGTTCACCTAAAAAACTAGAATTCCTAGATGACGTTCTTCGAAGACTTGCGGAATGGACCGGAAGGCTTGAAATCAGCCCTGGCCGAGGCAGGTGACCGGAGCTGGATAAATGCTGGCGAGGATAGGCTGGTCGGGCAAGGATAGGCTGCTTGGGCGAAGAAAACTACCGGGAACCATCGGTGTTTGTCAGGAAGGTGTGCGAGCACGTGAAGCCGTGTAAGCTCAGGAAAGGCCACAAAGCGCCTTAGTCGGCGGGAAGTGCGGCGATGAGGGGGTTTGTCACGAAAGGATGGCGGTAGCCGGTGTGCGGAGGAACAATACATGCTGTAAGGAGCTCTCGACTGGCCGATGGGACGTGCTGCGAAGTGGAGAAGGTTCCGAGGCAGCAGCGAAGTTCACGAGACGGTGGGTGAGAGTGAGTCACATAGTTTTGCGAAAGGGTAGGATTTGTTGGATGGAGAGTTGCTGAGTGTCCGGAGGGAAGTTGCGAAGCTTGAGCGGTCCGAGCGGCTTTCGATAGCTCGCGATACCTCGAGTAACGTGGGGGACGAAATTTGGGGTCGTAAGGCTTTGTAACGGAGATGAACTCCGGACGAGGGTGGAAGCTGAAGACGGAAGGACAACGGAAGGAAGTAAGAGGTTTCGGAAACTTCCGGCCGTGATCGACGTTAAGCCACTCAGGGGTCAATTCACGCCAATTCAGAGCTATTCGAGGGCCAATCAAGGGGCGGGCGCGAAGCGCCCCGCCCTGTTACGCTGGGGAACAAAAGAGGGCACCATGCCGTGGCACAAGGGACTGAGAAGCAAAACAATTGCTCCCCATGACGGTCGAACTCATGACCTCCAGATTAGATGCTCCTTGAGCACTCATTATATGAGACTGGCGCTCTAACCAACTGAGCCAGGGAAGCATTTTTTGTAAGAAGGAATGTGTGACCTTGCCTTGCACGGGTGAAAAAAAAGGGATTCGATGCTACCCGGGCAAAGCCCGGGTGAAAGAAGTGGCAGAGGATTTGGCTCGGGCTTTGAAAAAAGGTAACAGGTTATCAGGGCAGAGGCCAAAGAGGGCCAAGGCCATCTTGGGTGGGAGTCAACAAATTTGAGCGATTGACACCGTCGCTCAAATCTGCCGACCACCGGCATCATGTCGGAGTTTGATCCCGGCATGATGTGGCTTTTTTCAACCAAGTTGGGAGGGGGGGTGGGGGGGGGTCCTCTTTTGAGCGGACGGATCAAGAAATTTGAGCGATGGTGCCAGTCGCTCAAATCAGGCAACCAAAGTCTTGAGATACATCTTTGAGTATCTTTGTCTTTGTGGCTACTGTTGTTTTATTTCCCGGCAACAAGGTAAGTACAGGATTTTGCATGAAAATAGGCCGCAGAATACAACAACTCACCTTACATTTTGAGTGGTGATTTTTCCTTCGCTATACGCTTGGAGACGTGGGGACTGGACGTTCGCAAACGGACCCTCGTTCAAACTCCGCTCTGATTGATGTGTGGTGCGTGATCCCTTACGGTCACATCGATCGTTGAACTTTCCCCCCATGTCGTCCCCGCCATTCTCTCGAGAGCGCCAATGACCTGCTTCTCCAAACCCGGCCCTCGATAGTCTCAATATATCAACATGTCAAGTCCACTGCTCTCAAGTCCTCTTGTCGCCCGTGTCGCCTCAATTGCTTATAGCCTCCAGGCTTCCCGTCTTCAATATTACTTTCTAGCATGAGCCACCGGTTCATCCTATGCTTACACTCCATCGATTGTACCCAGGTGAGTCTCCTGCCTTGCTCCCTTTTATTTCCAGATCACTGACCCCCCCCCCCCCCCCCCCCCCCCCCCCCCCGTAGAGCGCCAACAACGGATCGCCTTCCACGCATGACCAGTCCATTGCTGGCGTCTTAGGTACAGGTTTGCGATGGGTCCAGACTGCAACGATGGGAAGGCTGGCTCATGGGGAAGCAGGCCGGTGAGTAACGTTACAACTATAACTATTACTGCAACGTGAATATCTATGCATGCAGCATGATTTAATGCCCATTACCATGTCCTGAGTGTCCTCGTGGCGGTCAAGACCGACATGAGTGACGAGGCTAGCGCCCGTATATAAAGGCGCGCGCCTCTTGGTCCCTTCGCTGAGCTCTCGCCCCGAGGGAATTAATGGCTCGCCTCTCTTCGCTCTTCTTCAGACTCTTGGCTGCTCTGCTTGTCACTGCTGCGACGCCTCCAAGCACCCTCGCAAGCCAAAATCTCCTCGGTGAAATCATCGACACGCTGGGCATTGGTATCGTCACCGCCATCGATGCCACGATCACGATCACGGTGAGGAACGTCGCGTCTCTGTCCGTTAACGTATGTACTCAAATCGGTCTCAGGTCGAAACTTTGGAGGACAGCCAGCTCCTCCGCCATCCTTGCTAAACTCGCCTTCAAGGATCACATTCGGAGGTATGTGAACACGTTCTCCACTCGACGCATCGCGTTACTAACATTCCTATGCAGCTCAAAATCGCTGATCTTTGAGGTCACCCTCGACCGCGTGGTCAGCACCGCCGGCATTAACGATACCGAGTACGCTTCCTTCGACCACACCTTCGCGAAGGGTCTCGTCGGTGAGTCGCGCGCACTTTGTACCATCACCCAAGTCCGAGTCTGAATCCCCGCGCCAGCAGTCCCTCCTCTTGGCAAAGCCATCGTCCCCAATGTGACCCTGACCCAGGGAGCCAATCGTCTCCCTTGACATCATCCCTCTGGGTTACCTCGACGTCCTTAACGTGGACATCTATGTCAGGTACCCAGGTCTCTTCGACCGCGTTGTCTACCCACGTCTCACCCTCCTCGTCAGTCAGAGCTTTGATGATCAACGGTGCTCTGGGCGTTCCTCTGACCATTTCGGGCCTCCACAAGAAGAACGTTACCACGACGTGAGTCGGTTACGAGTTTTCTCTTGTACCCCGCTGATGTTCTTCCAGTTACACCCTGGCTCTCTCCTAGTCTCAATGTCGTAGTCGTTTGTCAATCGAGAATATTTTATGTTTTGCATTGTGACACTACAAACTCCCAGATCGCATCCTCCCCCTCCCCCCCGAGGCGCTTCACGACCCCCTCCTCTTCCAGCCTCTGCAAGTGCAGATCAACACCCGCGCTGCCGGGAGCCACAACCGCAGCATATATTGTGGTCTCCTAGCGAGAGTCTTGCGCGGGAATGGGTACATTTTAGCAGTATTGCCCAGGAGGAGTGAACGAAAGACGTACGCGTCACTAAAATCCGTCTCTCAGGTCTTGAACATCCTCCAAGACAGTCCAAGACGCAGTATCAGAGATCTGCGCACCGCCACATGCACAGCCCCAATCCCACGGCTGGCCTAAATCGTGATGCTTCCGCGTAACGTAACACATCAAAATCGTCGTCCTCTCTTCCTCATTTCGTGTCCTCACAGGACCTTTGCCTCGTATATCGAACCGTCCGGAACGCCATCCTACCAAATTTTCTGCAAACCCGGTCGAGGCAAGTGTGCAAATAGTGCATGCAGACCGATAAATGACATTCAAAGCGCAGTTTCCGCGTACCGTCCAACAGGCCCAGCTGTCTACCGACACGTCTCAAAGTCCTGCACTACGCGCCGTCGATTCCAAAAATCGGGCTACACTTCAATTGAAGACCAACCGATCGCTTGAAAAAGAGTAAAGTGGATATATGCAGGTACGTACAACTTGCTTTGACTTTGCATGGCCTGAAACTGTTTTACGCAGTCTGACTACACTTCGGAAGACGAAGAAACGCGTAGAACACTGGCAGTAGAGGATGACGTACGTCATTCTTTCCCTGATTCCGTGGATTTGTCTGACGAGGGAGCAGGTTCGCCCATCTTCCCCGGATTGGGACTACGATCTACTTGAAGCGTCCTTTTCCAATGACAAAACGGTGCGTTAACTACACAGAGTGCGTTCCCAGTAGTCTGACAATACGCTAGGTCAGAGGTTTGGCAAAGAACGCGCAGCGTAGAGAAGCCCGCCGTGAAGCTGCCATGGCAGACCCTGAAGCGGCTGTCCGGCAGCGTATTGAGGCAGGAAGAGCAAGGGCAGGTGTTGTTGGAGACTTGTGGAAGGAGCAGGTTGCACAGCGGCTGCGAAACGAGCTCGCTCTCTACCAAGTTCTGGACAGTTCTCACCATGGAGGCTTGAGCAAGCTGAAAGCCGCCGTAGCCGCACGCCTCTTACAGACGAACCAACTCCCAATATCCGATTCCTCGCCCGTATGGGAACGCTTTGAACCGCGCATGATCGAACTCCTTCTAGATTTAGCTCAAGACCCGGCGACCGTGTTGGACCCATATATCGTCGACGGCACCATACGTCTGAGCCAACCCGGCGACAGTCGACCAATCTCGTGTTGTCAAAGTTATATCCGCCAATTCACATCTGCTAGTGGCCCGTCCGTCTTCGAAACCGCCATGCACGAGTATCCAGCGACGATCCCAATATTCCTGGTCCAGCTGGCTCTGCACGGATCGAAACTAGAGCCAGTCTTGCGCAGGCTGAGCACAGCTATGGAGGAGTTTGGATTGGAGGATGCTGTCGATGAACTCAAAAACGACATCGAGAACAATCGTGATCTAGAAGCTATAGCGCCAAAGAAGAGGACAACTGGCCCCACCAAGGCTCTGTACGCTGGCATCACATGGACCGTAGCCCCTTGGGAACGCGTCGAAAAAGACATTACAAATGGTAGTGCCGTGCTACTCGTCAATTTCCTCAAGGCAAATCTCGACTTGCTTTCTCACAAGACTTTTCACCTCCCCTCCCTCGATATCCCTATGCGTTCAAAATACGAATCTCAAACCAACGAAGAAATCAGTGACGTGGAACGAATTATACGTGCAGTCCTCGGTGAAAGGGCGATGAATTCGGCAGAGGGAGGCAACCGACCGATCTACGGACCCACTCCAGCTCTAGCTCTACTGCGCTCTACTGCCTTCGCACTGCTCCCTTCTGTGAACGACCATCCCCTCGGCCAGGATCACAATCCGATACTCGAGAACAAGATCCGCAGCTTGATAGACGAAGAAAACAATATTTTTACGAAAGCCGGATTTTCGCCGATTTCAAGTAGGGGTTTGGAGGGAGTGAAAGACACTGGTGCTTGTCTGCGTATGCTGAAAGGCCGCGTAGTGAAGATGGAGGTGGCCAAAGATATTACGCAGGAGGTCCACACTGGTGTTACAGGGAATTATTGGGACAAGGACGCAGGCCAAGGCCCTCGGGAGCACCACCATCTGCTTCGTTTATTTCATCCGATCTCGACCGAATGCGGTGTCACTCATGACGAAGTCGCAGAGTACTCTGGGCCCTTGATTGACCTCTGGCGCGTTGTTCTGAATAGGAGCCATTACTCCCTTCACGCCCTCTTCCTAACACGACTCATCACCGCTATACAACCCCTGCTCATCGTCTCGCAGTCTCGAGACGTCGCTGCTACTCTTCGCCATGGAATTCTGCCCGTCATCGCCAAACGTTTCCCGGAGGCAGAACTTGCCGCTAAAATCTCTGGCAACGAAGCTCACGTATTATTCGAGGAATTATCGGCAGATCGACCGCCAAATGAAGTTATACCTGGACAGTTTCTTCATTCCCTCGGCACGTTGTCCATCATACAAACTGGGTCTGACCCGGCATCACAGTCAATCCTTATCCCTCGCGGTCACTCCGGTAGACTCAAACACGACCCGTCACTCGCATGGCCCCTCTGGATGGTGGATTTTCTTGTCACCCTGAACGCAGAGCTTGTAGCGCAAATACTTGCAAGGCGTTTGCAGACAGAGGAGGCGGTTGATTGGAGCGATCCGGAGTCCACACGGAGGTGGTTGGAGCAGGCGAAGGAGGAGGCCGAGGGCATTCTCCTCCGCGCAGGTGTA